GGTCGTGCCCCTCCTGGTTCAGTGTCTGCTTTTGCTATCAGTAAGTCCTGAAATGTTCCAAAATCGTACCACGCGGCTATCGAAGGTGGCGGTGATCACACTTTTATTAAAAAACTTGAAAAAAATTGGAAACCTGCACTTATTCTCACTGAGGTTGAAACTGATACTCTAGCGTCCTCTTGGCATTTTGCTCTAGTTGGGAAATTCCTTTATGGTTTTCCAAAACTGGAGATCATTAGGAAAGAATTTAATGCTATGAAACTATTGGGCAGTGAGAACATTAGTCTACTAGATGGTTGGCATATACTTATTCAGCTATCTCACGATGCCGATTACACTCGCATTTTCTCTCGAAAAATTATTAAGATCGACAATCGTTTTATAAAAATTCTGAAATGGACTATCGATTTTGATCCAAAAGCGGAGTCCCCTATCATTTCAGTTTGGATAAAATTTGCAGGGTTAAAATTACATATGTTTAACATAGAAATCCTCTACTCTTTAGCAACTGCTTACGGTAAGTCTCTTAAGGTGGATAGTCTTACGCTTGCTGTCACCAGACCCTCTGTGACTTCTGTGTTAGTTGAGAGAGATATCACTCAACCAGCTCCGGATGAAATATGAATTGACACTATTCACAACGGGTATTGGCAAAAGGTTGAGATAAAACCACATACTCCTTATTACTCTCATTGTAGTATGTTTGGTCACAGTTCTACTATTTGTTATCGCTTGCATCCTCATCTAAGACCGAATGTCGCAAAAGATCAGTCACCTACCATCATTGCTGAGAAGGTCCAATCCGATCCTCTTTCCAACATCACAGTTCCAGATGAAGAACACCTTACTACAAGTGCAGATACAAATGTGCTGATACCACTTACTGTTATTGAAGAAAAAGACCCACTTACATGTCCAGAGACACCAGAGTACTCCTTCGACCCGATAGAAGATCAGTTGGTATAACAAGTAGTTACTTCTAATATTCAACAACCTACACATATCCTGCACACTTCATACCATTCCGCTGATCAGGTGAGTCAAAACGTGTCAATCTTCGGATGAGGAATGACAGGTCTATACAAGGAGGAACAAAAAAAACGGATGACGACTCGAGTTAGGAAATCTATTGGATGATACATTAGTTACTATTGACAATGACACTCATCTGACCAATTTATTAGCCCGCTCCTTCCCTAAAGTTAGAGGCAGATGCAAGACAAAATTGGGTCGCTCTCCAGCTGCCTGATACTCTAATTTTGACAATTTTTAGTTTTTTATTTAGATCTCTTATGTATTTTGTTGTATTTTCTCTTTTTTTAGAATCATATGATTTGATAATTTTTGTGTGAGCTGGGTGCCATATTTGGGACCTTCCACAAAATCTATGTACCCTTTTCTTATTTAATATATTAGTCATTGGGCTTTAAAATATATATATATATTAGGAGGGGGAAGCCCCTCCCATGGGGCGACAGCCCTAACCCATAAACATAGACTGGTCGACCCTGCTCCCTGAATCGATTCAGCCCCTAGGGAGCCCTGCGCCAATTACTAAATGAGGGTTTTAAAGAATAAATCTTTTTTAAAAAGTATAAGTATGATATTGATTTAGCCCTAAAGAAAATGCATAAAATTTAAATTTTTGGTACATATGATCTATTGCTTTAAATTAAAAGATAATGGGATATATCGAAGTTGTTTCATTAGCAAATCCATTCAATGAAATCGTAGATAATAGATATTAAATGACTTTAGAAATATTTTGGTTTTAGTATTTGAAAAAAAATGAGATTCAGAATTATGATAGTTATGAAGGAATCAAACTTATGATCAAATAATAAGGTTATAGAATAGGGTAATGGAACATAGGCTTAGAAAAATAACATCCCTGCCAAAAAATCAAAGAAATTCTTATCTCCTCTGCACAATCTTTTAACGTTTCTTGCGCAATGATAAAAATATCACTGTTTTTGGATTAAAACCCTCGCTTGCCATTCAACAACAGCAACAAGCCTTTATCCCACTAAGTGGGGTTGGCCACATGAATCTTTTTTCTTCATTATGTCTTATTGAGTGTCATATTTTCATTTAATTCAAATAGATTGAGATCAATTTTTATACAATATGCTCAAGTCTTTCAAGTTTACCTCTTTCTTTCTTAATATAAATCAAATCTAAAACATCCACTCTCCTAACAGGATCATCAAATGAACAATATTTAATGTGACCAAACCATCTAAGACGACTCTCTCTAATTTTATCTGCCACGGGAGCTACACCAACCATATCACGGATATATTCATTTCGCATTTTGTCTCTACGTGTCAAGTCACTCATCCACTTGGCATCCTCATCTCAGCAACACTTAACTTTGTTTTATGCATCTCTTTTAAAGGCCAACATTCTACGCCACTAAGCATTGCAGGTCTTACCACCATCTTATAAAATTTCCTTTCAGTCTAAGTGGTACTTTTTTATCACATAATGGGCCCTATGCATTCCTCAACTTCAACCAAACAACTTGAATTCTACTAATAACACCCGCAACCCTCGCTTTTCATTCAAGAAAAAAAAAGAAAAAAAAAAAACTACATTGAGTTCAATTTAATCCCTGTAAAAAGTATGTTAAATGATCTTCTCAGTGTGCTTCACACAAAACATCACTTAAAAGAGAATCCAATGTAGCACAAAAATAAACAATGAAATATACAAAAAAGAATTTTGTTAAAAGAACAGGATGAATACGAATGCATTAGAATTTAAAATAGAAAGTTGAACAGCAGAAACAATAAAATTCCTTACTGCAGCTTTATGAGTTGCTACATGTACAGTTTCTTTCTTACATTAGGAAGTACTCGGAAAAGTCAGGATATGAATAAATACTCACCATATTTGAATTTCAGCAATACTAGTTCTAAGGCTGCTCTCGCATCTTCAACACTATCGTGTCCTTTTCCTGATGCTTGGATCTGCCTCGAAAGAAACTTTTCAGATAGTACTCTCAAAGCTGTCTTATGCCCCTCGCTACAGGGGTTTTTGTATAAAATAGCAGAATCAATTATTAACTGATGAGATATCTTCATTGCTGACAGATCATTCTCAAGTGAGTGCCCGACAAGGATAGTTTCTTTGTAAACGAGTTTAAGAAACTCTTCCTGTAGAAGTAATAAAAATCAGTGTAAATCTTCCAAACAGGGACATTTACATACATACCAACCAGTTCTAATGTACTTATCTAACACCTAACCTTCAATTTTTACATTTACAACCAACATGTACAAAATCAAATACAAAACGTTGACATACCTGGATATCCTTGAGCATTGTTGTCACCCCATTCAGCATCTCCTCAGTAATTCCACTGTACCTGACCAAATAATCAACAAATTTAGACAAAAAGTCTAAAGAAATGATGTAGAAATTTTTTTGAACAAATCGAAGCAATAACTACGCTATTTTATCAAAAGATGAGACACTGCAATTTCTTTGGTTTGAAAGCATAACATTTCAAGTATTAATTACTAAATGAAACGGATTGATACTGGAGTTAAATCACAATAATGGAAGCAAATATTATTAAGATAAAAAAAACTAAGGTTACAATCAAGATTCAAACGAAAACAAAAACACAACATGAATATCCGACTAGGGCCTGAAAGTGACATCCAAGGACAGAGATGTCAAGGCTTGGTGTTTGGCAGTTGAGTAGGGCAAGGATGGAAATGGATGGGTAGAACAGGGAAGGCTGGGAGGCTAGTGGTGGGAAGCATGGAGAAGAGGGTCTCAGGTGGCCAGTGTAGTAAGGCTGGTGGAAGGAGATGGCACAGAGATTGATGGTGGGATAGAAGGTGGGGCGGCGGTTGGGAACAGGAGGGAAGGAGGTAAGAAGCAGGCCGACGGCTGGAAACTGGAAAGGGGTAGGGTGGCAGCAAACTGATGGATGGAATGGCTTGCACTGGCTGGATAACAATGGTTAAGCGCAAGAGTGCGTAGGGGAGGTAGCTAAAGGTCATCGTTCCCTTGGAGCAAGATATAGCCGAAGCACCACCTATCCTTGGAAACAACTCTAGCAAGGAAAACCACCTAGAGGCGGAAATCTGAAATCAGAAAACCAAAATGAACCCTAACTCATCAAACAACATATTTATAATAGATAGGTAGGAGAGAATTGGGACAAAGCATCCCCCAATATGTCGTGTTCTAACAATAGGCTCAAGTATGTAACTAGTCCTCAAAAATGAGAAAAAAACCCTCATCATAGTTACAAAAGATGGATGTAAATGATATGATAAGATAATATAATAGACTACATAGGAGAATGATTTAAAAATTTTGGAATGGTCATGATTGAATAAAAAATTGACACTTATTTTCTTATACTAAATTATTATATTTGACTAGCATGCATATAAATACTGTCACTGTTGGATCCCAATCCCCAGATATGAAAAGTGGAGGTTTGCATTAGATAGTCAACAACCAACTTAAAATTCGTCGAAAATCATGACATGAATGCCTTAGAACCTTGTGTAAATGCTAGGTTGTCCCTTGAAAACAACGTGCTGTATAAACTGAATGCGGTAAAAAGTGTGCAAGGGCCGCTACACCGACGCCCGTGTAATGTCAAATAGGTATGAGTTCCCACATTACAGACAAATGTGAGTAAAGAAGTTACTCCATGAAATAATATTATGATAGAATATTGAAATATATATACTCTTACAGGTTAATTAATAAAATTAGTTAACATTATGGTTCACAAGAAGATAAATATCTAATGTATTCAAGAAACTAAATGGGTCTGAGAAAAGACTATGGAGATTGATAGTTTAGGTCTCCAACCTTGGTATTCAGATAGGAGTCATAATAGAATAGTGTAGGTGTAATTATAGATAAGAGTTTAAAAGATAATGTTGTGAAAATTAATGGAATTTGAAATAAGTACAATAATATTTTTAATATTATAAGTGCTTATGATTCTCAAGTATGTTTAGATATAAGTTCAAAAGAAAAATTTTGGAATGACCTAAAAAAATTAATACAAATGATAGCTCGCGAAGAAAGACTTTTTAATGGAGAAGATTTAAATGAACACATTGGTAGAGAAGTAAAAGATTTTAGAAATATTCATGGTGGCTATGATTTTGGAGTGATTAATAAAAAATGTAGAGTCATATTAGGTTTTATTCAGCGTATGATTTTATTATTGCTAATACTTTATTAAGAAAAAAAGATAAACATATTATTATATATAAGAATAAATCTAATAAAACACAAATTGATTATTTTCTTATCAGAAGCAGAAATCGTGAAGAATGTAAAGAATGTAATGTCATTCAAACTGAGAAATTAAGTATTCAACATCGATTATTAGTTCAGAATTTTAAGATAAAGAGTTACAGTAGAATACTAATGAATCATTGTCATAGAATTAGATAGTGACACCTAAAAGATACAAATAAAATTATTTTTACGAGTAAAATTACATATTTTAGGATTTGGATGTTAATGAAGAATCAAATTCTATGTGGGATAAAGTAACAAACTGTATTAAACAAGTGACAAAAGATGTACTTGGAGAATTAGAAGGAGATATTTTTATAAATAAAAATAGTTGATAGAATAATATTGTGCAAGAAAAAATAAAATATAAGAAGTTGTGTTATCAGAATTGATTTAAATGTAAAAGATTAGAGAACAAAGAACAATATAAGGTGACCCGTAGGGAGTGTAAAAGAACAATTTGTGCTGCTAAAAATTCTGCTTTTAGTGATCTTTATAATAAATTAGATACTAAAGATAGTGAAAAATATAAGTATAAACTAGCAAAACAAAGAGAAAAGAAAAGTAAAAAATTTAACTCAAATAAAGTGTATTAAAGATGAAAACCAAGAAGTGTTCTTAGAAAAAAAACATTCAGCATAGGTGGGTGAGCTATTTGATAAACTTTTCAATGAATTTTCTAAAAATATGATCATAATATCATTAATAATAATAATATATTTTATTTTAATCGTCGCATTAGTAAAAAAAAGTTTATGAGGCTTTAAATTAAACCAATGATGGAAAATCAATAGGACCAAATGATATCCCAATTGAAGTGTGGAAATATTTAAGAGATTTGGGAGTTTCTTGGCTTACTAAACTTTTTAATATTATTTTGCTTACTAAACTTTTTAATATTATTTTAAAAACTAAAAAAATGTCTGAGTAGAGGAAGATTATTTTGGTACCAATTTTTAAGAATGCATAAGAGTACAAGTCATAGAGGAATTAAGTTGATGTTTCATACTTTAAAGTTATGGGAGAGGGTAATTGAACATAGGTTAAGATGTACTACAAAGATTTCTCAAAATCAGTTCGGATTTATGACGGGCAGGTCTACTATGGAAGCTATACATTTATTGAGAGGATTGATGGAGAAGTATAAAAAGAATAAGGAGGATCTGTATATTATTTTTACTGATTTAGAAAAAGCCTACGATAAGGTTCCAAGAGAAATGAGTTTTATAGAAGAAAGGTGTTGATATGACTTATATTCAAGTCATTAAAAATATGTATACTAGAGTTAAAAAATATGTACACTAGAGTTGTTACTTGTGTTTGAAAAGGAGGAGGATTGACTAGATATTTTTATTGACCCAATACTTTCGTATTTTAGATGGATTAAATTGGTAATCGGCTTTAAGCCCATATCTTTTTGCTTTAGTTATTGATGGTCTTACTGAACATTTACAGGAGGATGCACCTTAGCGTCTGCTTTTCGTTGATGATATCCTTCTTGTGCATAAGATTAGAGAAAGAGTTAAGAAAAAACTTGAATTATGGAGGTTTACGTTGGAGACAAAAGACATTCGTTTGAGTTGAACTAAAACTAAATACATGGAATGAAATTTTCATGGTAGTAGCTCTAGTGGCAGAGTTGGAACAATGGGCGATCAAATCATTAAAAGGTGTGAACACTTTAGATATCTCGGGTCTATTGTTTAAAGTGTGGTGATATAGATGGGGATGTTATTAATAGAATTCAAGTTGGTTGATTGAAGTGGAGGAATGCATTGGGCCTATTGTGTGATAGAAAAGTACTACTTAGACTGAAAGAAAAATATTATAAGATGGTGGTGAGACCTGCAATGCTCTATGATGCAGAATGTTGGCCTTTAAAAGAGAAGCATAAAACAAAGTAAAGTGCTCCTAAGATGAGAATGCTTAGGTGGATGAGTGGCTTGACATTTAGAGACAAAATGCAAAATGAATATATCTGTGATAGAGTTGGTGTAGCCCCAGTGGCAGGTAAAATTAAAGAGAGTCGTCTCAGATGGTCTGGTCACATTAAATATCGACCATCTGATGATCCAGTTAAAAGAGTAGATGTTTTAGATTCGACTTATGTTAAGAAAGGCAGAGGTAGACATAAAAAGACTTGGGCATATCGTATAAAAAATGATCTAAATTTATTAGAATTGAATGAAAATATGACATTCAATAGGACGCAATGGAGAAAAAAAGATTCATGTAGCCGACCCACGTTAGTGGGATAAAGGCTTGTTGTTGTTGTTATTGACTAGCATGCATATTATTATTATTATTATTTTCACTATGTTATTGTAATTAGAGTAGCTCCAATGGCAGAGAAGATTAGAGAGAGTTTCCATAGATGGTTTGGTCAAATTAAATGTCGATCACCTGATAAGCCAATTAAGAGAGTAGATGTTTTAGATTTGAAGAATGTTAAGGAAGGTAGAAGGTAGACCTAAAAAGATTTGGGTATGTTGTATAAAAATGATCTTAATTTATTAGAATTAAATAAAAATATAACTTTCACTTGGACACAATGGAGAAAAAAATTCATACAGCCGACCCAATTAGGGGATAAAGGCTTGTTGTTGTAGTTGTACATTGTTGTAGTTTAGAAATATCAACATTTACTAGTTGATTGATAGCTCATGTTATTTTAAATGGAACAATTTCAATTTAAACTTAAATTTGAAAAAGGGCGACAGAAGGGAATGTTTATATAAGACAATCAATTTGGAGGAATGTAATTTTTTTTTAATTATTTTAATTAATTTTCTTTCGTTAGTGACCCATTAATTTTATTTGAATAATTATTAATTAATGAAGAAAATTGATTTTTACCGTTCGACTGTCTAATCCCATCTTAATAAATCCAAGCCATAGGTGAGGTCATCACATATAAAGTAGCTAATCACACAAAGAAAGCAACAACAACAAATCAGTCTGTTAAGAACAGTTGGAACAACACTCTCCCACAGAGTTCCATACCAGGGATGAACGGTTATTGACTTAGATATACAATAAAAACCGGCCACGCGCTGAAACAGGAAAATGGCGTAATGGTCTAAAAGATGAATTTGAAGTAAGCTGCAACCATAAGCCAAATCAAACGAGATAATGAATAACACCAGAAAACATGCCCCATTCTCATACAATCACCAAATGCATATTTTACAAGGACATAAACAAAAAAAAAAGACAGTCAACCAGAGTTCTTGCAACTTTTAAGAATTCGCTAGTGTGAATATCACCACACATGATTTGCATAGATCACTCTAGCCATGAACTATATAGTCCATTTTGAACCAAGATTTACAATTCAATAAAAAAATGTACGAAATGATCAAGTAATTGGATAACCAAATAAAGTCTTCTTGTTACATATTTAAGATTGATAGTCCTTATCAAAGGCGTCCTTGTTTTAATTTAACCAAGGGTTAGTTTGCCATGAGCAAATTGTACAAAAGCATAAGACTCAAAGCCAAAAGAACTAGGTTAAGGAATTGACTACAAAGAGTTAACACCTTGGGTCAGTTCCAAAAAAGCGTTATGTAAGTTTAAAAAATTAGAAGATTAATTTCATCAAAAAGATCAGCTGGATCACCAAACCCAAAGCATATGCTTAAGCTATTCAATGAAGAAGAAAAATGCACTATCCCAGATGAGCTTAAGCCAAATTGATAGCCGAGGGAAATACTATCCCTGGTAGAGTAGTTGATATTAATTATTAAGCATACCTAGTATTGTAATCAAGGATAGAGTTGAAAGGTTTAACAAGCTTGTCTAGCACAACCTGCATCAAAGAATAAGAAATAAATAGAGCTGCAAAAATAAAGTTGCAAAAAAAGAATATTAAAAATAAAATAAAAAACAAATTTCAATATGCTCCAAAAAGGAATTTAGAAAAATTCATTAAGGAACCACAAGAGCAACTAAACTAGAACGTTGCTAGAACATAAATAACTGACAGATATCAAATCCTGCCAATGGAACAATACAAACTAAAAGCATAAATTCGAATTAATAAAATAGAATAAGTTTCATAAAAAATCAGCTTGACTAGATTGAGCAGACATGTTAAAGAAGTTGTCATTAAAAATATAAAAAAAATGTTCTTTCAAAAAAAAAAAAAAGGAAAAGGAAAATAAAAAATTTAATTTTATAAAAAAAATGTTCTTTCAAAAAAAAAAAAAAGGAAAATAAAAAATTTAATTTTTTTGTCAATTACATCTCCATTAATTCCACATCAACCATATTACACCAAGCCTAATAGTCCACCTTACTCACTTCACGCCAGTTCGGTAATTGGTAGGATTAATTTTGTGGCCTTCGAGAATTTGCCCCCTGGACTCTCGTTGTTGAGAAAGTTTTCAGTTATATATTCCAGATTAAATTTTTGGAAGCTAGATTGTAGAGAAGACACTCCCTAGAGATTTCACTCTCATTTTGAGAGAATTTCCTTATTTGGGGTTATAGGTTTCTCATATTGCGTCTATGGTCAATTAGCCCTCCGACAACCCAAAAATATTTTCGATTAAGACTAGTCATTAACACTAAATATTCAACATATAATAACAACATAGTTAAAGAGGATGGTGGTAAAAATGATGACAAATCCAATCAAAATCCTATGGTTTCCTCGTCCCGGGTCGTCCTGGTCCCTAATCTACTTGATTAGAGGAGATTGTCGATCCAACTTGATTGAAAAATCCTTGTTAGTAATCATGGGTTACATTATCTAAGGGATTCTTATAGATATAAGGTGAATGTTTGTCTGAGAGAATAAATTTAAATCGACATTAGCTGACATAAAAATTTTATGTCAATTAAAAGTACCATTATGGTTCACAACTTAAATGATAAAAAATCATTTGGGAACATACGAGCTACTGACGACAAACCACAAGGTCAGATGACTTCGATCATAACCGCTATTTTTGTGGAGTTGTAAGACTACTCGAGCCATGTTCTTAATGACGTGATATTACTTTGAGTATGAATATAATGATACCCTCGATATAACATTTGCACTCTATGAGCTAAATTCAATAAAAAATTTATCACCTTTGACAAATTGTTATGAAATGTGAATGGAGTTTGCTTTAAGTTTTGATGCAGTTGATTTTAACATAAATGCTTTGATTTGTTTGTTTTAAGCCTTTAGTGGATTGATTTTAACTTGAGTATCTCAATTTATTATTTTGAGATCTTAATTTGAGAGTTGATTTAAGAATTGATTACTTCAATTGAGATATTCTAACTCGACTTTCATCGAAGATTTGAACATTTGAAATACTTAAGTATATAATTTATTTTAAATGTTGACATTTAAATATCTCTAAAATACTAGTCACATTAACTCTAACCGTAATGAAGATGATTGGACAAAGTGATTTAAACTTGTAAATTTTTATACTTTTTATTTGGACATTTTTAAAATTACTAGATTCATCAACTCTGGTCCTTAAAAAGAATAATCTGACTAAACTGATTCAAACTTGTATTTATATTTATTTTTTGGACATTATTTAAAGTACTACACTTGTCAACTCCAGTATTTAAGAGGAGGAAGATCAAACTAGTTGGGTAGGACTTACAAATTTTATAATTGTTATTTGGACATTATTGAAAGTACTAAACTCATCAACTCTTGCCCTTATGAGGAAAATAACTAGATTAATTGATTTGGACTTGTAAATTTATTTTATAGATTGTGTGACTCATTTGATTTGATTGTTTTTTTGTGAAAATATAGAAGGATCAGCTAATTGGAGACAATTTGAGAAACTCCTTGATTAGTTTTATTCCCTTCTTATTTACGTTTATTTCGAAATAATTTCCTTTCCATGTTTAGGGTAGATATTTTTGGTAAGATTATAAATTAAGAGGGACCGGCTTACTTATGGATGTAACCTTTGGGTCGAAGATTAAACAAAAAGAATTCTAAGAATTTCCCCTTACGTTTTTCTACAAGGTATCAGAGCTTCTTCTGACCGTTCTAGTCAGCGCCATTTGTCTTCGACACTAGCGCGTTAATCTTTGTTTTCACTTGGTCGTTTGTCTCCTTCCTGTGCGTGCGTGGCATAAGAGTTGAAGCCCTTGCTTTCGCCTTTGATCTACCGATTCACGGAAGACAGATGCAACATCACAAAGTACATAGAAGCCTTTGCTTCGCTTGTCTCGCACGCACGAGTCACAGGCTCCATTCGAACATAATCCTCGCTGCAACCACCAAAATCCCTTCAGCTAGTCTGCAGGCCCTCCTCTACTCGATCCTACAGCCTCTGGAGACTCTCCAACAGCCAAAATTCTCCTTGCAACAGTCAGAATCCTTCCAAACAGTCTACAGGCCATCCCTCTAGTGGCCCAACATTCTTCATTGATCCTTCCCAGCCAAGCTGACCTGCCTTGAAAAGGATCAGACCAAGCAGAGTGGCGGCCAAAAAACCTGCAACCAAGGTTGGCTAGCAAGTTGCACCTAAGGTTGGTTAGCAAGTTGCAGCCAAGGTTTGCTAGCAAGCTGCAGCCAGCCAAGTTTTCCCTTATCCAGCCCTAAACATGCATAAGGTTTATGACCAAGTACGACATGAAGATGTCTACTTCTACTTTGAATGTTAGTTCTGAGTCAAAGACCATTAATTGTGTTTAAACCGCCTTTAACCTCTTTTCCTTTATCACAAACTACAAACTCAATGGCCATAACTTTCTTCAATGGTCCAGATTTGTGTTTATGTACATTCATGGAAAAAAAGAGAAATATCTCACAGAAAAGGGCACAGTTCTTGAGCTCACTGATCATAACCATCATACATGGAAGATTTAAGGCCATATGATTATGTCTTGGTTAGTCAACTCAATGGCTATTGACATAAGAGAAAATTTCTTGCTCTACAAAACAACCAATGAAAACTGGAAGGCTATAAGAGAGACTTAGTCAAGTACTGAGAATACTGCAAAGTTGTTTGAGAACAAAACCAAACAACATGATCTTCGTCAAGTAGAGCTAAGCGTCACCCAAAATTTCAACACCTTTACAAAATATTGCTTCAATTAGATATGTTCGAAACATTTATGTCAAAATATCCGCTTGATGCCATGATGTATAAGTCCATCATCGAGAACTATCAAAGTTCTATTGAGACTAACCGATGAATCGGACTAAATGAGACAGGAACATGAGAACAAATCTATTCCACTTTTGCTGAAGTTAGAAGAGGAGAGTAGAATAAAAGCTTATGATGATTGGAAATGAGAGTTCATGGATACAATGTAAATTTATGAAATTTAACTGCTTTAAATATCGTTTTTCTTCTTTACTTATCATGATTTGCACATGTAAAAGTTGTTTTTGGTGGTTTTGTGCATATACAAGGGTTGAATACATGTTATGAAGCCAGAAAACTAAGTTGAGTAATTTGTACACTGGTGTAATAACGCGACCTTGCAGCTTAAATACGCTACACTGAGGCTTAATTACGTCAGATTTGTTGTATGGTCGTACACCAGGCTTCGACATAGCTACACCGTTTTATGGGGTAATTATGCCATTCTAGGGCATAGCTCTTCTGTTAAGCAACTTCTCAGATTTTAATACCAAGCTTGGCCTCTATAATATTTACGACCCTGTCTGAGAGGGTGTGAAAATATAAAGTATAGAACTACCTATTAATTGGAGATAATTTGAGAAACTCCTTGATTGGTTTTATTCTTTCTATATATGTTTAATTCAGAATTTTTACCTTTTTATGTTTAAGCTAGACATACTTGATAAATTTGTAATTTAGGAGGGACCAATTTACCTATATGTGTAACATTAGGGTTGAAGATTAAAAAACAAGAATTCTAAGAATTCCCACTCAAGTTTGTTTTTACAGTTTTCATAATAATTTGAGTAAAAATATCATTTTAACCCGCACATCATTCTCAAACTGTTCAAATTTAAGACTTATTCAATTTGGTGGAACACATGCAATTGAATTAAACTAGCCTGCATAGCATTCTCAAACTGTTTACTAAAACATTAAGCAATCTAGCTGGAGCAAATGCAGACGATTTAAGCTTTTGATTTTAAGTTGGCCCTCACAACGTCCTCATACCTTTTAATTGAAAATTTAACATAAAAATCAAAACATATGCGGGCTTTCAGAATTCATATATTTAGAAATTTATGCATGCTTTTACAAAGTGATCTGTACACTTCTTAGAGCAAGATATTTTAAAAAATTTCAAATTAGCCCACAACATTCTCAAGACAAACAAATATAATCGTTTAACATGGAACCCATGCGGACTAACATGCTTATGTATATGCATCTTCATGCATAATGCACTTGCAAAATGCAATTATACAATTATACAATATTATGTGTTTTTGTAAGGTGTCATTTCATGATGTTTAATGCATTTACAATGAGCAATTACATAGTTTTTTATGTTCTAGCAAGTTGTAATATAATATTTGAAGCATTTATATGATGCAATTGCATATTATTAAATACTCACACATCTTTTGAGGCAAAATATTACATTTAGAAATGCTTGAAGCACAAAAGCATGATTTAAAAAAAAATAAATAAATTTGAAATGCGTGTCTCGATTGCACACAAAATTTTATTTTGGGTTTTAAAAAGAATCATCTTTTGTTTGTTTGTCAGTAGATGTATTACGAATTCGGTGACAATATTTGATTTGAAAAATATCATTGGAATATATATATATATATAGTTAGTTAGTTAAAAGATGTCGTCTCCCACGCTCGGCTCTGCTAGGGTTTCGACCCATGTCAAACCCTAGAAACCTTTACCGCATAAGATCATTTCTCCGACGTCGTCTCTCCGTCCTCTCAGTTGTTGCCGACTCGCACTGCTTTGACGTCGACTGCAGCTCCCGTCTCGTCGTCTCTGTTCGAAGCTGATAGAGTTCGCATTTCGTCGTCGCTGTTCGATTACATCTCACGGAAGACGGGAAGGGGTCATGTCTTCCTCCTTCATCTTCCTTCATCACTGAACACGGGAAGGGGTTGCGTGCTCGTTTCCTCCTCGACTCAGCTCGACAGCACCGAGTGCTTAGTCTCTTCGGTTCTTGACCGTCTTCGGCTCGTCATTCCTGCCCTCTGACCGACTTGACAGGGTTTTTAATTGTTGTGATGGAGCTTCCTTCTTCTTCGGTTGAACCTGACAAAGCCTTCTTAGCCCACGTGGTGGGTAATCATCAGGTGGAGACGGCGGTTGTTGGTGACTTGCCCATTTATTAAGAATACAAGCAGAAAAAGTAGAAAAAACAACATTCTTTTTCTCGGAGTTAGACATTTCAATCCTGACTGACAAATTCAATTTTGCTCTTATTGAAAAATTTCAGTGGGGGCACCCACCTATGGAAGTTATCAGGAAAAGCTTTGATGATCTCAAATTAGCAAGAAACTGGAAAGTGGGGCTCATAGATGGGAGACGTGTATTGATTCAATTAACCGTGACTGAAGACTACACTCGGATTTTCTCCAAAAAATATCTCAGCATTGCTGGTAAATCAATGAAGCTACTCAAGTGGTCTCCTGATTTTGACCCCAATCATGAACCTCCTAATGTACTGGTGTGGTTCAGTCTACCAGGTCTCAAGCTGCACTTTTTTCATCATCAGGTTATTTACTCTATTGGGGCCATATTTGGGGACCATATGAAGCTAGATCTACCAACTTTCAACCTAACCAAAACTTCTGTGACCAGAATACTTGTGGAAAGAGATATTACTTTACCAGATGTTACTGAAGTCGGGTTAGGCACAACTCATAATGGATATTGGCAACAAATTGTCATAGAGCATAGACCGCCTTACTGTTCTCATTGTAAGATGTTTGGGCATACACTTGATAAATGTCATAAGTTTCATCCTAATTTGAAATCTAAAGATCAAGTGAATAAGGATGTAATCTAAACATATCTGTTCCATCTAGAGAGAAAGCTACCACAAGACATGTTTTGAATATCGCTAAAGATCAACCACTTACCATCCCTGCTGAGAAGGTGCAAACCGATCATTTACCCAACATTGCAGTTCCTGATGAAGATCATCCTACTACAGGTACAGATCCAAAAGTGTTTATACCACTCACTGTTATTGAAGAAGACTCACTTACATGCCAAGACACACGAGAGTGCTTCTTTAATTCAATCAAAGATCAACTGATACAACAAGCAGTTACTTCTAAATGTTTAACATCTCACACATGTAGGACACAATTTAGACCAATCCACTGATCAGGCCAGCCAATCTTCGAATAAGGAATGCCAGGTCTATTCCAGAAGGAAGAAGAAGACTGGAGGCCGACTTGAGCTTGGAAACTTATTGAATGATACTTTGGTCACTACTGACAATGACACTCATCTTACCAATTTATTAGATGGCTCCTTTCCTAGAACTAAAGGTAAAGGCAAAGCAAAATTGGGTCGCTCTCTAGCTACCGATACTACGTTTTTTGGCATTTTTTGTTTTTTTTCTTTAAGTCTCTTGTAATTTTCTGTATTTTCTCTTTTTTTTTGAATCATTTGTGGGTGATGGTTATCGTGGGGGAAGGGTGTCATGCTTGGGCCCTTCCACACAATCTATATGTATCCTTATTTTCTTTTAATATATTAGCCTTTGGGCTTTCTCAAGAAAAAAATATATATAGTTAGTTAGTTAGTCCAAAATCACTTGGGGTTTGATTTTGGGGTAAAGTCAAATAGCTGAATCATCTTTCTATTCCTAATTACTCAAATTTCTTTTTAAAAAGAAAAAAAAGATTACAAAAAAAAAAGTTAGTCCCATTACCATTTATAAAAAGCATTTATTTACCGCAAAACCTGCACATCTAAACATATATAAAAATTGAGCCTCCCCAAGGAAAAAAATCACCGCATATTTCCCTCCCGCAAGACATCTATCATGTCAAATATTCTTTTGTCAGCTTTGGAATGGATCTTCTTGTAAAGAAAAATGGCAGCATCAATTGTGCCCTCAACATATATCGAGCAACCGCAGACGTTGTGCTGGAACTCGAATGATACTGTCTCGTTAGGCGAAGTGAGAAGGTACATATGGAATGCATGGCCTTCAAGATGCTATTCAGGAACACCCACGATCTCTAGTTGTTTCTTAGGATCTCTGATCATCTTTATCTTGTTGACGTAAAATGAGACACCCAGCTTCTGAAAGCAAGAAATAAAAGCTTTAGCTGTACCAGACGCATCTCGTTTGCCTGCTTGATGAGATTCCATCACCTGCAATGAATAGCCTGAAAATGCTCCAGGAAACTGCTCAGCCATGATTTCCATAGCTGCAAGAAATGCAGCAACCTGTTTCCCCATCTGTGGAGAAATTACTGCATAAACATTTGCATCTTTTACCGTCTTATACAACAATTCCCTGTCTCCTCCCGTTGTGCCCATCACAAATGGCTAGTTTGCAATAAAGTTCAGCATTTCCATTCACTGCATCAGGCACTGTATAGTCAACCACGATAACAATGGGATATTCATCATATACGGCAGAAAGGACATTCTCTCTTTCAGATGGACCGTGGATCATAACCTATACATTACCAATTTGTAAAGTTCTATTCAATTTCTCCAAATTGCTGAATGTTACAAGAACTAATTGGAGGCCTGCTGCATCAGCAACCGCCATGCCCATTCTTCCAGCACACCCATTTATCAAGATTAGAAAAGAAAGGCCTGGCCGTTCGGTGGCCGGAGTTTTAAAAAGACTTGTAGCAGCATAAGCTCTGACAATGGAAGTGTTGGGTCTCCAAGGGCAGCTCCTGCTCTTATCAAACAAGGAATTGCGCAGCCTCGGACTTCCCATGAGATAAGGGTAGTATTGAGGCTAAGCGAACTCATTGTCTCTAGGAATTCGCTTACTAAGAACTTCAAAATTAGGCTTTAATGCTGTCTTAAGCCCCAGAAGTTGAAATTGCGGCGGAAACGTCTTACATTGGCCTTTCCAGCTAAATCCGGCGACCATATATATATATATATATATA